AATTTTTTTTAAAGAGAAATTTTTAAGATTCTGAATCCAGCTCAAGGCTATTCGGCTTCTTGGGAGTCTTCCTATTTGTTGGTAGGAAGAATTTTTTTTCTCACTAGTCCAGCTTTCAGTGTGGCTTAATTCTTTGATGGTCTGGTGTTTCTCCGTGTCTTTGTTACATCTTCCTGGGTTGTATGGCTCCAAGTTCCTATTTCCTTCGTGGATGGCTGTTAAACTCCAAAGTGCTAATTAACAGGACCCACAATGTTGCTGCCCCAATATTAGCTGTCAGGTAACTACTCTGGTTTATGTTGGCCCACCCCTCCCCGTTTTGATTCATACATTTTATTGCAGAATAACAAATATATCAAGGTAAGTGCACAGACCATAAATACATAGTGCAATGTTTTCACAAGTGAACATACCTTTGTAACATGTACCAGATAATGAAAAAGAACATTATTATATAGAAATCTCATAGTATCATTTCCAAACACTATCTCCTCTCGAGGAGAATCATTATTCTGATTTCTAAGATCATAATGTGATTTTATCTATTTTTGAACTTTATATAAATGTAACCATATAGTATATACTCTTGTGTCTAGTTTCCTTTGCATATCATTATGTTTGTGACGCTCACTCACATTGCTTCATGTGGTTGCAGTTTTTTCACATTCATTGCTCTATATTTTTCAATTGCATATTGGATTTATGTTGTAGGTGTACAGCTGGGTTGGTTCCAGTTTTCCTTTTCCTTTTGGAGGCTGGGATTTCCCTTTCCTTTCTTTTGAACTCTGTTGTCTGTTTGGAGGATTTAAATTTTTTTTTTTTTTTTGCATAGAAGAACTGGGGTGTGGCCAGTGCAGGGGGCGAGGGATTCACCAGAGACAGAGTGGGGAGCAGAACAGGTGGATTTACTGAAATACACTGCTAAGGAGAGCAGCAGGTGAGACAGGAGAGGTTTACTGCGCCATGTGGGTTAGCTCCCTGGCTGGGGATGGAACTCAGGCCATAGATGTGATAGCACTGAGACTTAACACCTAGTACCAGAAGGATTTAGAAACAATTTCTTTTTTTATTTTAAAAGTTACACTTAGACTCTTGTATTTATTTATTTAAAAAGATTTATTTATTTATGCATACAAGAACTGGGGTAGAGCCCAGAGGTTGGGGGGGGGGGCGGCGGTGAGAGCATTCACCAGAGACAGAGTGGAGAACAGAACAGGCAGAATGACTGAAATACACTGTTGAGGGAGCAGCAGGCCAGACAGGAGAGATCTGCTGCACCTTCTGGGTAGCTCCCTGGCCTGCTGGGGATCAAACTCGTGCTGCAGAGGCTGCGGCTAGCCTCACCGTACTGTGCTTAACCCCTTGTGCCAGCAGGGAGGCCCTATAAACAATTTTCTGCAAATCTAATGATCTGTTTTATTCTCCACGTTTCTTTCTTTTTGTGGAAAGCCTTGTCTGATTCTCTTCTGATTTACTTTAGCTCATGACATTTCTTTAGACTGTTGTTGCCATTTACATGAACCAACAGTGAGTGAACATGAACAGGAGGAAAGAGACATGATATGAAAATAATCTAGTAGTCATGATCTTTTGCCTGGGTAGGGTGCTACATGTGCAAGCAAGTTACTAAGTGCAAAACACTGAAAAATCATGTTAAAGATATGGGGTGGCTAAAGACAGCAGGGTAAAGAAGTATGGATGTGATTGTTGGGGTCCAGGAATATGAAATGAGAGGGAAACTTTCTTGATGGATCAATGGTATGTAATTAATGTGTTACTAGAAGAGCAAAAGTGATTGTTCCTTTAGATCTGTTGTTCTCACTGGTGGCAGTTTTCCTCCCAGGGGTATTTGGCAATGTTTGGAGTCATTTCTGGTTAGCATGCTGTTAGTATGTAGTGGGTAGAGGTTAGGGATGCTAATAAACATTCCACAATGCACAGGACAGCTCTTCCTCACCCCAGGAAAGAAAAGTCTACCTTAAGTGTCATTATTCCTAGTTTGAGAAACCTTGTGTTAGACTGAGGGACTACAGATGGCCTGTAAATCCAAGACTAAATGAATTCAATAAATACTATCAACTATCTTTCAAGAAATGATAGCATTACTGTGGCATATTCTTCTATGATTCTATCAAATCCTAAAAATCTATGATAGCCATCTCATATTTAGTTCACTCCAAATCTTTCCTCATCTGTAATGGTGAATCTGCAACCACCAAATCCATTCAGAGTTTGAATGAAATCACTGGGATCTGACGTCACTCTAACTGGATGTGTACAGCAAGTTATTTAGTCATTAAAAGTTACACAACAAATTTCCCTCTAATTTATGCTGTTATTTTTATTTTACTACTGAAAGTTTCCAGATCATAGAGTAAATAGGTTGCACAAGTAGCACTAGATAAAGATTTTGACGTTGTTTACTGTAATTAGATTGCTAGGCTTTCTTTTCTTTTGCTGTTATATTTTTGCAGCTTGAATTTAGGGCAAAGATAAATTTCACTATTTCACCAATGGAAGTGATTATCTAAATTTGTCTATTCTTCCTCCAGGCAGCACACACTACCATTTATTCTTCTGACTCTTTCCCCCAGAAAACTGAGAGTTTTATAATGATATTATTGGTTTTGTAACTTGTGTTTCCATTGTAATGCTATTACTGAACCAATGTTGTGATAAATGGTCTGTTTATAAGGAGAATCACTTTTACAAGTAGAAAATTAGACACGCTTCTACTTTGCAATAACAATAAAAAACAGTGAGAAAATATTCTCCAGTTGATTCCCATCTGTATCAGAAGCTTTAAAAGATGGTGTCTCCCCCTAAGTCTTCTAAACACAATTATTGCCCACAAGCGCCATGTCTAAGTAAATTTTCCTTCAAATCCTATTTGAGATCATCAATACATTTTTGAGCTTACCAGAACGTGGGCCCTTTAAGAAAGTGAGGCATTTTAAACTCCACCCCTCTGTTGACTTGAGGCAGTAAGTCCGCGTTTCTGAGGCATTTTGCTGGTGATAAAGCAAAAAAGAGAGCCAACTTGCCCCTTGCTTTGCCTGGAAGGAACGTTTCTGTTGCAATAAGCTTTAAAAGTGGAAGCTTTCAGATTCTATGGGATAAGGAACAATAGAAACTTGTGAAGTATGGAAGCCAGACCAGCTCTTGAGATTCCATCACTGTACTGAATAAAGTGGAAAGAATGCTCTTAAATCTGAGTTTCCCCCTCGGTGCTGCAACGCATTGCTAGCTTTACTCTTCCATTTTACCCAACAAGTCAGTTTTCCAGAAGTCTTTTCCAATTTAAGGAGTTGCTTGTCTTATTATGTACCAGATCCCCCAAAGGCAAAGTTGAGAGAAATAAGTATTTCAGTGAGAAATAAACTGGATTAGTGCTAACAAAATTACTTACATTGTCGGTATGATTCTGAATAGCAAAGCCATCGTCGTTGTTGTTGTTGTTGTTTTTCTGCCTACACCTTCTGATTATGATCTGAAGTCCTCTAGCACTAAAATAATTAAGAGAAATGTGGGGTTTAATTGAAATTGTCATTTCTAAGCAAGAAAGCAGCCATCTTGGTAAAACATGAGGTCCTTTGAAACACTTGGGATTTTAGTTTTCATTAGGCATTGAATAACAGTGGAATCAGTAGATGAAATTTATTAACAGGTTTAGAGATAACAGGTGTGTGAAAATCATTAAAGTCATATCTTCACCCTTCCTAACACATTATAAACCTTTCCAAATTTTCCAACCACTAGAAAAATTTTTACACTTTCCCCTCATTTCCATGTGTTTGTTCTTCCATTGGCTAAGCTTGGATAATAAAACTAGTCTGGTCAGTTTCAGTTTCCAATTTTTATACACAAGTTAAAGCTGTTTTGTGTCAACAGCATAAAGTGTTTAGAATCACTTCACCTGCTGGGCCAATTTCCTGCAAGTCTTTCTTTAGGAGGGAGGAGGAATCAAGTTTTAATTGTGAATTTCTAAAGCTTTTATGGTGAATTTCAAAACTAGAACCCTGAACTGAAGCCGTACTTAATATGTTTTAATTTTGACCTATTAACAATTTTCTAAGATTGAGCAAGATCCTAGTAAAGAAGAGTGATGGTTAGTGGTCCCACTTAATGGTCACAATTTGCCCAGCATAATGCTGTCTGCAGTTACTTTGAAAAATTGGCAAAGAGATGTCTCAATCCACACAAAAATGCTCACCTTTCTTTCTTTTTGGGTTAGATAAACGTTAGTGTCTTAATCCTATTGCGTGACATGCCCTGGCACTGTTTGCAAGATGAGAGAGAGAGAGAGAGACAGACAGACAGACAGACAGACAGACAGAAAAAAGTTGCACCTTGTTTAACCAATTGAGCGCACTGTGGTTTCTGAGGTTATTCAGCAGTAAAAAGGGCGGTATATCTCTCCTGCAAATTCTCCCTTCAGGAGGTCAACCTGTGGCTGCTTGTGTTTCACAGCATTATCTCCTGCTAGGGGAACTTTCCGATCTCTCGGAGCAATTCAAAGCTTCTCAGTCCTGCATTTTGATCACCGAGATCAAAACTGCAAGGGCTGCGTGTATGTTTGAAACAGACAGAGGGAGACACGAGCACACGAAGTTGGCGGAACACGGGGCCACCACACCGCCCGGGCTTGGCTGCCCGAGCCGGGCTGACCTTTCCACGTGTCCCTGGCACCTGCGAGGCTGGGGGCGCGCAGAGTTTCTTTTTCTCAGGGGCGGGCGCGAGCCCGGAAGGGGCTGGGCGGCGTCGGGCTTAAGTCTGGGGGCTCGCGGGCCCCCCCTCGGAACACGTGCGGCCGGAGGGCGAGCAGCCGGAGCCCGGGCGGGCCTGGCTGGTCCGCACCCGCCGTGTCCGCGCGTCCGCGGCCGGTCGGCCGGCGCCGGGGGCGGGCCTCGGCGACGGCGGGCGGGCCCGGGAGCTTTCCGCAAGCTTTGCAGGGCGGCCTCGCGAGCGCGCCAGGCCCGGCTGGAGCGAGCCCCAGTGCAATACTGCCCGAGCCCGGGCGGGGTCTCTGTTCTCTGGCAGAGGAGGTCCCTTGGCAGCGGGAAGCTCCCTCTTTCTCTCTCCGCCGCTCGGAGTCTGCGCCCTGGTGCCAGGCGCCCAGCTCGGCGCTCCCCTGTGCTCGCCCGGCGCCCACTCATTCGCAGCTCAGCCTTCGCGGCCGCCGCCTCCCAGCTCCCCTTCCTCCTCCTCTCCCAGCCCGCCGCGGCCATGGCGGACAGCGCCAGCGAGAGCGACACGGATGGGGCGGGGGCAACAGCGGCGGCCCGGCCGCCATGCAGCTGTCCTGCTCGTCGACCTCGGGCGGCGGCGTTGGCGGCGGGGCAGGCGGCGGCGGTGGGAAGTCGGGGGGCATTGTCATCTCGCCGTTCCGCCTGGAGGAGCTCACCAACCGCCTGGCCTCGCTGCAGCAGGAGAATAAGGTGCTGAAGATCGAGCTGGAGACCTACAAACTCAAGTGCAAGGCGCTGCAGGAGGAGAACCGCGACCTGCGCAAAGCCAGCGTGACCATCGTGAGTGTCCCCCGGGGCCGCCGCAGCGCCGACCTCCGCCCGCCCCCGGAGACACTGCGCCTCGACCCGGGGTCCCCGAGGCTCCCCGGGACCCGCAGCCGGCGCGCTCCCCGCCGGGATCTGCCAGTCTCGGGGTGGGGGTGGGGGAGAGGGAGGTGTCCCTTCGCGGCCGCGAGGGTCCGTCCTCCCCGGGGGAGTCCAGGCCCCTCGCGGGGTGCGGGGGAAAGCTGCTGGGACCAACACCCACGTTCTCTTTTCGTTTCTGGGAGGAGGCCCCTCCCGGCCAGAGGTGGAGGCTGGTGGCGTGGCTGGGGGGCGGGGTGGGACTTTTTTCAGTCTGAGCCTGCCTGAGGGCTGCGTCTGGAATCTGGGGAACCTTGGGCTGGGGGAGAGGGAGGAAGCTGAGGCCTGCTCCTGGGGCCTCGCTTGGGGTGCGGGGGGAGGGTGCGCAGCTCGGTGGGGCACTTGGTGAGCATCAGGACGGCGCTGGCTGGATCGCCCGGGGACGGGGCGGGAGAGCGTGGCCGGGAATCCGGGAAGTGGAGTTTTCTGGCTCGGTTCGAGTGGGATGGGCGGGCACCACAGCTGGTGCCCCCACCTCTGTTAGAAACCCTTTCCTGGGCGAGTTGTTGGGAGCGGGGAGAGGCGGGAGGCAGCGGTCTCAGGCCAGAAGAGTGCAACATCTGATACTAACTGGAGTAAACGGTCTGTGAAGCCTGCACTGGCTGAAGCTAGGGTGAAGGGCAGCTGCTCTCTCCCAGGTGAGCAAGATGTAGTACGTCTGTTTGCATCATTGGTGGAGGGTCTGGGGCTGTTTTTTCTGAGTCCAGATACTGGACGGGAGAACTGATCTGTTTACGTCGTGCCCCTGGAGACTTTTCCTGGAGAGGGTAAGATTAGGTGTGTAGGTCTCTCTCCTCACGCAGCTGCCGTTTAGAAAGGCCAGTAAAGCCTTGATGAGGCGAGACATAACTGGCAAAAGTACACGATGTGCTCTCACCTCGCATCCCTTGCCAGCTTGCCACATCATTAACATGCATAATCCCCATACAGACAACTCCATTCAGATCAAAACAGTTCCCAGCCAGGAGAAGAGAAGACAATGTCAAGAATCAGGGGGATAAATTGCCGTAGCTGCTGCACAGTTGCAGAGTAGATGGACATTAGATGGAGAAAAAGGCATGAATTTGGGAATGGATCAAAGATCACACCTTGGAATTGAAATGGGGCAAGTTTAGGATGCCCCGTGCCAGAAAAGGCGTGTGTGTGTGTGTGTGTGTGTGTGTGTGTGAGAGAGAGAGAGAGAGAGAGAGAGAGTGTGTGTGTGAGTGATGTTTTCCCTCAATGGTATCTCAGACATGAGAACTGGATGGCATTCTGAATTTGTTTATAAAGCAGATTTGCACTAAAGTTTTAGTATGATTGGCACTCCAAATCAAAATTTGATTGTAGAAAGACACTTTGCATGCTCAAATCTAGTCCTGCTGAATGGAATTTGAGCAATATCCATGCTTCTCCGGACTATGAAGTTCTTGAAGTGCCCTTTTGGTAGGAAGGGGGAGGAATTTGCAGAGGCAGCCACTTCCAAACCTCCTCTGTAGCTTTCTTGGTTGACAGATGTCTCTGCTTTGGAGGGGGTTGGGGAGGGAGAATTGAGAAGAGGAGAAAGTTGGTGGAAGCAGTTTAAGGTTCCAGTTAGTAAATGAGAGGTTTAGTTTCTTAGAGAAGGTGAACCACAGGGAGAGGTAAAACTTACATGAAACAGACTCGCTGACCTCTTGCAAAAAGTGAGCAATTCAGGTTGTTTTTGTTTGTTTGGGAGGGAGGGGTGGGGTATAGAGATACTATGAAAGGGTTATCTCTTTGACACTTTGACTATGATAAATAGGTCTGTAAGTTGTCCACAAACACATTGGCTTTGAGGGGCCAACATGTCCATTCCTAGTGTATAAGGTCAGAGACCTTTAAATACTTAGCTTGAAGAGTGTGTAAAGTGGTGGCTTTATTTCCTAGCGCTTTATCCTTCAACTAAAACTAACATCCAACCATATATTCTTTGTGAAATATTCTGAGGCCTTATTAAGTTTTAGAATGGCTTTAGATGACTGCTTATGAGTAACTGAAACTTCTGCTTCTTTAATTTGATTAATATAATCAGGGAAACAAATAAAATACATTTGTGGTTTACCTGGTTCCTTAGTACTTGCCAGTTACTGAGAAACTATGTGACAAATGCAGAGAAGAGATTCCTTAAACTTTTGAGAAATTTTTACTGAAGTAGGACCCAAATTGTATTGGGGTGGGTTTGACCTCTCAGGTACATAATTTGGGAGGAGAAATGTATGTGACCCCACAAAATGGTTAAGTAGATGTAAGGAGTTCATTGAGCACCCATATGTAGTTTATGTCAAGGTTAAGCTACACAATACCTGACAACTCAGTTAAGCATAGCCCTTGTGAATAGCTGCCTAGGAAATTTGTGAAAGGCCTAGATATTCAATTAAGTGAAATATTTGGTAGATTTTTCACTACTTTAATTTGAAGGGAAGATGCTACTATAATCCCATTACATGCCTTCTTGGCTCTTGTTAGTTACTGTAATTACAATATTAACTTTTTTGTTCTTGGGCACCAAATAAAGGTGATTATAGATGTCTTTCCTTTTCCCTCAAACACATTCCAGAAGGCACATTGCTAATCAGCCGCATGCTGGAGAAGAGAGGTTCTCCCCTCTTTTTTTTTTAATGATATTTTTTTGAGCAATGTTAGGTTCTCAGTGAAATATATTGGAAGGTGTAGATTTACCATATATGTTACCTGCCCTTTCTCCCATTGTGAACATCTCCCCTCAAAGTAGTGGATTTGTTAGAAGCAGTGCACTGACACTGACTGTTCATAATCATCCAGACGTCATCATTTACAAAGTGTGTGCTGATTGGGTTTGGACAAATATATAGTGACCCATTCCACCATTTTGGTTTCATACAGAATAGATTCAGTGTCCTGAAAGTCCTCTGTGCTCTGCCTTTTCACCCCTTCCTCCTCTCTTACCTCGGATCTTTTAAATGTCTCCATAATTTTGTCTTTTCTGGAATGTCATGTAGTTGGAATCATAGTATTAGTTTTTTCAGATTGGCTTCTTTCATTTGGTTTAAGTTTCCTTCATCCCTTTTCATGGCGTGATAGATCATTTCTTTTTAATATTAAATAATCCTTTGGGTGTACCACAGTTTGTTGATCCATTCACCTACTGATGGACTTGTTTGCTCCCTGAATTTGGCAATTATGAATAAAGCTGCAATAAATTTCCATGTGTAGGTTTTTTGTGTTGACAGAAGACTTGAGCTCATTTGGGTAAATATGAAGGAGCTCTGTTGCTGGACTGTATGTATGTTTTCAAACTTTGAGTTTGTTAAGAAACTGTCTCTTCCAAAGTAGCTGTATCATTTTGCAATGAATGAGAGTTCCTGTTGGTCCACATACTTCCCAGCATGTGTTGTCGATTTTCTAATAAGTGTAGTGGTACCTTCTTTTTTTTTTTTTTAAAGATTTATTTATCCATACATACAAGGACCGGGGTACAGACCAGATTCGCGGGAGGTTGAGAGGACTCACCAGAGACAGAGTGGGGACCAGAACAGGCAGATCTACTGAAATACACTGCTGAGGGGAGCAGCGGGCGAGACAGGAGCCGTCTGCCGCGCCATGTGGGACCCTCACTGGCTGGCTGGGATCGAACCAGCGTTGCAGAGGCTGTGGACAGCTCCAAAGCGCTGCGCTCAACCGCCTGCACCACCAGGGGAGGCCCCATAGTGGTACCTTCTTGTTGGGCTCTTAAAACCAAATTCTAGGGTCAGCAGAGGCTCATAACAATGGTCATTTCTTTCTACTTTGGTATGTGAGTGCTTTTATCTGATGAAGCTACTATTTAATAAACCACTGCTTTCATGGTCTGTTTTCTCAGCATCTGTAAGATAGAGGTAAGCCTCATTTAAGGGGAAGAATCAACTGTACAAGGACCTTCATGTCTATAAGTGTACTGCGTGTCTAGGAGTTAAGCTTGTCCCTTGTGTAATTTATTTAGGACATATAAGTGGAATGGAATGTTTTGAGTGATTCAATTTCTCCCAGTAAATCAGTATCGGAACCAGGCTGCTGATAATAGATCACAATTTCTTCTTTGGAGTGGAGGAGGTAAATGTTCAGTAACTTTTGAGTAGCTTTAGATTTCAGACTAGGTCTCTCTGTCTTGTGCTGTGGGTGAACATGTGATTCTGATTTGATGTAGTGAAAAGTGGTCCCACAGTTGTAGGAAGTAATTGGATACTTAAATGTGCTCAACTAGTTGCTGGTAATAAGTAGGGCCTCACACCTGGATGCATAGTTTGCTGAGATAAGTGCCGTTTTCTAGACAGGTTCTATACCCTTTAGCTCATATTTTGTCAAAGGTAGAGGCCTATATAATAAATCATTAGTATTTAATTGTCTTTTGCTAGCTATGAAGTTAGCTCTTCTTTATAGAAGTTTATGAAAGTACAGAAATACAAAGGTATTTTGAAATTATAGTAGAAAAGCATGTTGGTATGGCATGATTAGAAAATCTGGCCATTTTACAATGAACAGTGTAATGCCTTCACTAACCAGTAAAAGCTACCATATAGTTAATGTTATGGATTTTGTATTATTTACTTTGGAAGCAGAATACACTATATTCCATTTTTATACTGCATTTTGGCAGACTCTCTAAAGCTACCAGATCAACATTACCCTTGTAAAGAGGTGTAGTGTGTATTATTATTTTTTTTTCTGTTTACTTTCTTAGATTCTCAGGAAACACTTAGCATGACTTTGAGAAAAGAATTACCTCACAGTTGGATCTAACTGCACAACTCCAGTGTCTGTCTCTGTTTCTGTCTCTCTGTCTGTCTCTCATAAAGAGGCTCTTCTTAGATTTCTTCTGCAGTTGAAATTCATCACATTTGTAGATTCCTTCCATGAAT